GTTGCCCTTGATCTTTGCCATTTTAATTACTATGTGTCTTGGTGTTGTCCTCCTTGGATCCTTTCTGTTGGGGGCTCTGTGTATTTCCATGGTCTGTTCGATTATTTCCTCCCCCAGTTTGGGGTAGTTTTCAGCAATTATTTCTTCCAAGATACTTTCCGTCCCTTTTCCTCTCTCTTCTTCTTCTGGTACCCCTATAATACGGATATTGTTCCTTTTGGATTGGTGACACAGTTCTCTTAATATTGTTTCATTCCTGGAGATCCTTTTATCTCTCTCTATGTCAGCTTCTATGCGTTCCTGTTCTCTGGTTTCTATTCCATCAATGGCCTCTTGCATCTTATCCATTCTGCTTATAAATCCTTCCAGAGTTTGTTTCACTTCTGTAATCTTCTTCCTGGTATCTGTGATCTCCCTCCGGACTTCATCCCATTGCTCTTGCATTTTTCTCTGCATCTCTGTCAGCATGTTTATGATTTTTATTTTGAATTCTTTTTCAGGAAGACTGGTTAAGTCTGTCTCCTTCTCTGGTGTTGCCTCTGTGATCTTGGTTTGCCTGTAATTTTGCCTTTTCATGGTGATAGGAATAGTTTGCAGAGCTGGTACGCATGACGGCTGGAAGAACTTCCTTTCTTGTTGGTTTGTGGCCTTCCTCTCCTGGGAGAACAGCGACCTCTAGTGGCTTGTGATGGGCAGCTGTGTGCAGACAGGGCTTCTGCTTCCTGCTCGGCTGCTATGGGGTTTATCCCCGCTGTTGCTGTGGGCGTGGCCTGGCTCGGGCTGCCCCTTTGCGAGGCGCTGGATTCTCACAGGTGTGGATGTGGTCTGGATGTTGTCCTGTGTCCTCTGGTCTTTATTCTAGGAAGAGTCATCTTTGTTATATTTTAATAGATGTATGTGGTTTTGGGAGGAGATTTCCGCTGCTCTACTCATGCCGCCATCTTGGCTCCCCTCTGTTCAGTGGAGTATTTTATAATCACTAAAAAAGAATAGACTGATTTTTATGACTAGCTATGGTAGACTCTTTAGGATATATTAAGGTGAAAATAGAAAAATACAGAGCGGGATATATACGTATGTCATCATTTGTATAAAATATGCACACACAGAGACACACACAAATATGTGTGTGTTTATACATGTATGGAAATCTTTGGCAGGATTCACCAGAAGCTGGTTATGGAGGTGAGCTCTGGGGAGGGGAAATCATAGCTAGGGAACAGAGTGAGGGAGGTTTACTTTTCTCTATATTGCCTTTTGAATGTTTAAACACTGAACTGTGTGCTTATAGTACTTTTTTATTAAAAAATGAAAGAAAAAAATAAGCCTTAAACATACATACACACACAACAATGATGAACTGGGAGACTAAATTAACTCTTCCCTAAAATGTTCTGCTTGCCCAACTTCTATTTAGACTGCAGAAGAACAGTCTGATTTAAGTTATTTTTCTCTGGCATTAATGTTTGGCACATTAGGTATGGGAAGTCACCTTTGCTTCCTTATCCTGATAGTGAAGGCTTAACAAAATGTCCATGAACTTTTTTTGGGTGAGCCTCCAATAAAAAAAGGTACAAACAAATTAGTGTCTTTGTTCACCTAATGGTAGAAGGTGTTTCTGCCTTTTCATTCCAATCCTCCCTGTCTTTAATGCAGCTAATCACTGAATTGTGTGTTTGACCTTTTAAAAAAGAAAATTCCCACTTACGTGAGTATTGATTGTATCTAAAATTCACTTTCCCTTGTTTCCATGAGTAGGCCAGAGGACATAAGAAATTATTCTGTAAGAGTCTATAGGCTGGTGTTTCATTTTCTTGTTGCATTTTCTGGTTTCCTTTGCAGGCCCCTTTTGGATATGTGCCACATTGGTCTTTGCCATAGCAATTAGTGGGAATCTTTCCAACTTCTTAATCCATCTGGGAGAGAAGACATACCATTATGTGCCCGAATTCCGAAAAGGTTGGTGAATAGCTTGACTCATTTGAAATGCTGTCAGTTTGTCATTGTGAGTTCCTTTTACCCACTTAGTTCTTGGGCCCCTGTCTCTAGGTGCAGCCCCTGCTTTCTGTATTTAAGAGTTCAAACATACCCACTGTCTCAGAATTTACCTCCTATCTATATAAAGCTACATAATCTTTTTTTTTTGGTGTGGTAAAATAGTCACAACATAAAACTTACCATTTTAACCATTTTTAAGTGTACAATTCAGTGATATTAAAGTATATTCACAATATTTTGAATCCACATAATCTTTTGGATAGCTGTAAGGCAAGGACCAGTAGCAGTTGGAATTTATCCAAAGAAAAATGTACAAAATAAGTAAAAAAACAGTGTGCATGAAAGTCTCCCTTGTAGCATTATTTGTATTATCCAAGTGTTGGAAACAGTAGGGGCATTGTTATTTAAGTCATCATGACTCAACCAGCTGGCTCTGTAGCCACTAATTATGAAGCATTTAGAGCAACACAGAAAGCTGATAATCCAAACCTATGCCTGTGCTGTTAGCCACTTCTTTAAAGGGAAGCCTGCAGGTGGTCAGGGCCTCAACGGGAAAAGGTCGAAATGAGTGTGTCTTCCCTGTTAGTTCTCGATAGAGATGCTTGCAGCAGTTCTGAGTTGCAGCTTACCTCTCTTACAAAAAAGTTCTATTCTCTGTAAAAAAAAAAAAAAAAAAGAAATGAGTATGTCCTAGTTAGTGATGGGCTTGTGGATGATGCTCTTGTTTTGAAACTTTCTGTCTGTGGCAGTATTAGATAATTTAAAAAACAACAGCTTTCAGGGACTTGAATACAACAGCCACCCCAAAACGAGGATGTCTGGCTCTGTAGGAGATTGACCGGTGCATTTTCTCAGTTCTGTCCTCCCGTCCTTCCTCGCTCCCTGCCTGACTGCTCTCCTGTTGAGAGGCCTTACATAGGTTTTGTAAGAGCCTTGTCTCTGGGACCAGGTCGCTGGCTTCAAGCTACTTCTCCACCACTCATTAGCTTCTACCTCATTGACAAGTTATCTCATCTCTCTTGGCTTCAGAGTTATTATATCCGTAAAATGGGAATAATAATATCTATATAATGGGGCTATTGTAAAATTAAAGATATATGTAAAGAGGTTAGAATAGTAATGTATACAGAAAAGAGTTCTTATGTGTGTGTGTGTGTATAAATAGTTAATATTTATATATGCATATGCACATACACATATATGTGTGTATGGAGAGAGAGGGATTTACCTGTGTGTGTGTATGTCTTTCCATGTATCCTTTTCTTCCCCTCTACCCTCCATGCCCGTTTCCTCTTCTGTTCTTTTCCATCATGGAGTCAGACCTGGATTCAGTCCCAACTCCATTTGTCAAATGTCCTTTGGCTTGATTTTAGCTCACTAAATGTTATCCATGAGATATAGACCCTGTCTTTAAGTAGCTCAATGGTTAAGTAAAGAAAGACAGGTAAATGACTATTGCTGTAAAGGTATGTTAATTCCTATAGCATATATATATATATATCCACCCAGAGTTACTTAGCTATTAGTGGCAGAGCTAGGAATCATGGAGTCTGCATAGAGTCTATGCCCTTGACTATTACACATGCGCGCGCACACACACACACACACACACACAAGCATATTGCAGAGAAGAAGGAGTGAATCACCCTGCCTGAGGGTTCAAAAGCAGGAAGGTCTTTATCTGTTCCTGTTCTCTTTGGCTGGATATAGGGAGTCATGGGATCTATGTACTAATGAAATAGTCATTGGCCTTTTAAATAAACATTTTTCCATTTCATGTAAAGAGTGTAAGTCACACATTCATGGTCAGATTCTGCTCCATTCCTTATTAATTATTTGACCTTGACCAAACCACATAGTTTCTCTGATCCTGTTTCCTCATCTCTAAAATGAAGATATAGATTATATGAAAGATGTATTTACACATCAGTTAACAGTGTAAAAAGCAATTCTTGATACAGCATTTAATATTTATCAGCCTCTTCTAAATATACCTGTTTTTACTCATTTAATTCTAATAATCTTATAAGGTAGTATACTATTATTATTCCCATTTTACATATGGGGATGCTGAGGCAGGAAAGTTAAGTAACTCACCACTCAGAGTTACTTAGCTATTCGTGGCAGAGCTAGGAATAGAACCCATGGAGTCTGCATAGAGTCTGTGCCCTTGACTGTTACACAGTGTCTCTCAATAAACCACTCACTGTAATAGCTGTAGCCATCCTAGTAATTCCCTTCCCCTTCCTTTAGTTATCCAAGACGAAGGCAATGTGTGAGCAAAATTATGTTTGGCTTAATGAGGGAGTTCCCATTATGAGAAAATTGCTCTGGGAGCTAAAAAATGTTTTGGACTACCACGTGTCTTAACCAGAGTGACTGTAATTGCTAGGGGTGCCTTCCTTCTTGCCAAGAGAGTAAAGGGAATTACCTGCCAATTTTCACGTAGGAAGGGCTGGTGCCAAGGGCTTAGCCATGCTGTATGACTCTCCCCTCCTGGGAAAACAAGAAGGGGTGGGCCACTGCTGGGGAAGAGGATGCAGGGACAGTGACACACTGAACTTGCTGTTCAGAGGAACCACAAAATAGCATTTCTACCACAGAGATAGAATTATTGAAAGAAGAGAGTCAAACTGAAGAATATTTCAAGCAATTCATCAATGAGCTGGAACTCCCTGTTTCAGAGACAGAAGGAATTCTGAGGAGCGTGCAGAGCAATCTGTACCTAGAGCATTTTAATAAATTTGCTAAAGAAATCGGCATTGGCTCTTGTTATACTAGGAAAGAGGATGTGTTCTTCCACAAGGATAGTTGGCTTTTATTTGGTTGAAATGCCCAGTATTTTTAAACACTTGTAATGTGGCCCTCTGAAGGATTTCAGTTGCATAATTCAGTTGTGTAATATTATCAATTGTTAGTTATTAAACAAATTATAAAAACCATATGCGAGACTATTGGTCATCACTGCAAAGCCAAATGCTAAAACTTCATCAACTCAGCACACTTAGAGAGCACCTGTTGTGTGTCAGGCACTGTGCAGGCCCTGGGACTGTGAGGACCAGGAAGACACGGTCCTGTGAGCCAGTGAAGTAAGCGGATATGTGAGGAAGTACGTCTGGTGAGGAGTTAGAAGTGCTCTGACAGTACAGTAAAGGCATGATGGGGATTAAAACTTGTGTCCTGTCATCCTCAGTGTCCATAGCAGCCACAGTCATCTATGCCTATGCCTGGCTGGTTCCTCTCACTCTCTGGGGTTTCCTCATATGGAGAAACAGCAAAGTTATGAACATCGTTTCCTATTCATTTTTGGAGATTGTGTGCGTCTATGGATATTCACTCTTCATTTATATCCCCACAGCAGTAAGTACCACACTTAATCTGAGTGATACCCTGTTCTTAGTTGAAAATTCATCCAGCATCATTATTTTTAGCCTAGCTAACATTGATGTCTGCCTGAAAAACGCCCTTTGCATTTAGAAGTTCAGCAGGAATGGGAGCGAGCCAAGTGCCTTCACTGGATCTCGAGCCCTTCGTGAAGAAAGCATTCCGTCAGTCTGCATGCTGGTGGTGTTTCTCCAGGCTGTGTGGAGGAACCAGAGTGGCAGTAGGGGCCCAGCTGCTGCTTGATTCAGAAGCCTTTATAAGCATATGTGTCTGGAATGAACACATGCCTTTCTGAAATGCCTCCAAAACACCCTTCCCTCCTTCCTTTTCTTTCAGATACTGTGGATTATCCCACAGAAGGCTGTTCGCTGGATTCTGGTCACAATTGCCCTGGGCATCTCGGGCTCTGTCTTGGCAATGACATTTTGGCCAGCAGTTCGTGAGGATAACCGGCGCATCGCGTTGGCCACAATTATGACAGTTGTGTTGCTTCACACGCTGCTTTCTGTGGGCTGCTTGGTATGGACTCACACCTATGTTCTTCTGGTGCGCTTTAGATGCAGATGCGAAAAGACCTCAAACTGGTAGAGACTCAATGGTTGTCTTAAAACTAGCTCCATGAAATAAATGCCATTATAAGTAGACTCTTCCTAAATGAGAAGTGGTAAAGTCCTGACAATTTGATTGTGATCTCTGGCTTTACCTAATTTCTGAAATCTGGTTAGAATTTGGTGCCTGGCCGGAGGAGGTCTCAGGGGGATGAATGTTTGCAGATAGGTTGGGCATGGGGGTGGGGTTTACCTTGGGATGGCCTTGCTGGTTTTCAGCACATATCTAGAAAATGTTTTGAAATTAAAATTTTCAGAGATGGACAGCTTGAGGTCAAATAGAGGAAAGGGAAGATTTTTTAAGGTAAATGATATTTATTTAAAAGAGTTTTTGAATTATGTGTTTAGGTATCTTTTTAGGAAGTACACTTGCTTTTGAGCCAGACAGGCCCAGACTGGAGCCCAGCTCTGTTGCTCACTGGCTGAGTAAGCTCAGGCAGGATGCCTGACTTTTGCTGTTCATGGCCTTACCAAGGCCTGATGCAGGCTTTAACAATACTGAGTCCAAAAATGTAAAGGTCACCAGTGAAGGAAAGGACCTGCCTGCAGGGAGATGCCTACATTGCACAGGTCCAGGCCCTTGGTCAGGTTTTGCAGTTATGAAGTCAACACTTTTTGGCACCGTTTGATTCTATCATGTTTTTGAGTAGACAACCATGGTCTCATTAAGTGCATTAAAACCACCCTGATACTTTATCATTGTGTCAAGTTCTGAAACACAGACCTGGTTTACGTGACTTTACAACATGCCTCAGCTTTAAACTCTTGAGACAGAGGACTTTGGGTTTGACCCGTGGCAGAGTGACACTGTTAATTTCTGGCACTTGGAATCTTTGGGCTGGTCCCGTGAAATGCTGCTCGACTCTTCTGTGACCCTTCTGTCTGCCAAAGGAGAATGTGCTTTTCCTTATAGCTAACTTACTACAATGCCTCTCCCTGTGTCTTCCTGTCTCTCTCCTGAAATGTGTTCCCATTATACACCTAGCTGAGGAACTGGTCAAGAGGAGGCAGGAGAAGAGGCATTACGCTGTTCAGTTCTGCAAAGAAGAGAAAGGAGTGAGGCAGATTGGACAATGGGGCCGGGAGGAGGCAGTGTTACTATTAAGAACATACTTCACCTGGTACCTGGGCTGGGGATAGAGCCACATTGCAGGCTACACTGGAGAATAAAAGAGCATAGATTTTGGAGCCAGACACAACTGGATTGAAATCCTAGCTCGGAGACATAGTTGTGTAGCCTTGGGAAAATACCTCTTTGAGCCTCAGATTGTACATCTTTAAAATGGGGATAGAATTGCCTAATGCAGGATTATTGAGTAGATTAATGATCAAGTATGTGCCTAGTCCACTGTAGCCTCCCCAGGTAACTTGTTGTTGTTAAGTATTGGTGGAATTAATGAGTTAATGAGTCATAGAATTATACCTTGCCCTTGGAGATCTTTGTTTCCAACCCCTTCATTTCACTGGTAAGAAAACTAAGGTGCATGAATAAGAAAACACAGGCCTACAGATAGGAAAACTGTGGACTGACTTGTCCAAAGTTACAGTTATGAGTACCAGCACAGCCAAATTTGGAATCATGCCTCTTGGCTCATTCTATCTGATGAGGATTTTCTCCATTAGCCTGGAAGAAAGGCAGCATTTCAGCATAATGGGAATTTTGTGGCTCATTGCAACTTCTGAGATAACTGGTAACTCAGAGATAACCGGAGGGCCTTCCAGATGGGGCATGGCCCCTGTCCGTAGCTTCAGTTTGGAACTGTTCTTTCCCTGCCCCAGAAAACAGGTGTCACAAGGGGCCATGGGAAAGAAGACTTTTAAAACTAATGTAATTGCTGTTAGAACTGCAATACTAAATAGAACTGCTCTCGGTATGTAACAAAACTAGAGGGGGTTTACAGCTAGGAACTTTGAAATGGACTGTTCAAGAGTTAATAGGGAAGAGGAATAGCTTGGGAAAGCTCCAGGGTGTCATGTTGGTGCCCCCTTCTGGCTGATAGAGAGCAGACCTGGCGAAATGGTTCTTGACTTGGTAGGTTTTTGTCTCTTCACCTTCCTAATGCCCTGACTGCAGGAGGGAGTCATGAGCATGCAGTGGTCCTTGCTTTATTAAAGGATTTACCTTTCCTTTGAACAGCCGGTGTTCAAGGCTAGTGAGATTGTTATTTTCCTGGGCTTCTGGGTTAGAATTCTCAGACCTTGAAACAGGTGGGCAGATCCTCCTTGATGTTTTCCCTCTTCCACCTCCTTCGGATTTTTGACAGTTAAATTAAAGATGGTGCATGGAAGCAGTTATCAAACTTTTCATTTCTAAGCTGAAGAATTATGAGGTAAGGCCTGCCTAGCACTGTCTTTTTAAGGTCTTTATTGAGAGCCAACTGGTTTAGCAGCAATCTATCATAGTTCAGTTCATTAAATATTGACTGTTTGCATAGTGTGCCAGAGCCTGTGTGAAGGGCTGGTGACACAGAGACAAGAAGGATGCAATCTTTTCCCTGGAGGAGAGGCTGTATAATGTAGTGATTAAGAGCTTGAGCCTTGGAGTCAGAAGGACCTCACTTTGAGTCCTGACTCCACCACTCATTAGCCATTAACCTGTCATTCAGGTTGACCGAATGACAGTCTCTCTGAGTGTCAGTTTCTTATCTGTCAAGGGAGGATAATAACAACAACCTCACAGGGTTGTTAAGAAGAATAAGTCATATGTAGCAAGTGCTCAATAAATGGTAGCTAATAAAAAAGTCACTCACAGTCAAGTGAGACAGACAGAAATAGATGGTTGTAGTTCATTGGATGGTGGATGTGGAGGGGGAAGCATAAGAGCCACAGAGCCCAGCGGTACTGTTGACACAGAGTCGAGAAGACTCACTCAGACCATTGGTTTTTAACTCTTCTCATGAACCTCCTTTTCAGGCATACTTTTTTGATTCACCAGAGATGGACCATCTCCCAACAACTACAGTTGCTCCAAACCAAACAGTTGCAGCAGCAAAGTTCAGCTAAAGAGGAAGTAAGTGATTCTATTTTTATCTTCTTGCTGTGTGGTATAGTAAAAAGTGGGCAGGTACTTCAGTTTGTTACCATTAGCATCAAGAGCAGAGACGGCCAGACCCTTTTATCTTTCTGTACAGTTAGGTATAGGATATGTACACATGCATGTCTGTACATGAGTGTCCCTCTTGCCGAAGCTTTAGTTGTGAAGTCCACATGGTCCTGGCTTTATGGATTTGGGAAACATGAGCTCTCAGATTCTTCCATAAAAGGAGACCTGCCTTTTTGGCCCAGCATCCCCTCCCCTCTTCTCCCTGTCCCTTGCCCAGCAGCACAGTATCGGTTTCTTCCATTTGTTTACAGTCTTGGTGGTTTTTTGTTTTCCCTGTGACTTCTCAACCTGGCCTCAAACCCTGAGTATGACCTCTCTTGACTTAACTATTGGGGTTCTCCAAAACTTACACGTTCTCACGCCTGGTTTGTTCTCTGGGCCTCTAATTATTCCACTGTCAGTGGCTAGCTCAGGGGTTAAAGTCCAGGAGAAAGAGCCAATTCCTCCCTAGCTTGTTGCTTGTCTCCGTTTCACATCCTCAGTACACGACTCTGTGGCCCTGCTGAACTTCTTGCTGTTGCCACAGCACATCAGGCCTTGGCACTGGCTGTTACAGATGTCACAGGTGTCTGGAATGTTCTTTCCCTTCCAACAGTCATCACTGACCTTATTATTCCATTATGCATTGTATTACATATCACTCTATTAATTGTGCTCGAAACACCATTCACTGTCTATGTGTCCATCTGCATGGCCACTTGTTCACTCATTTGTTCATTTGTCCTCCATGTACTGGTGTGTCTCCCCAGTGAGACAGCTCCGTAAGAACATTAATAGGTGTTACTCTGTATCTGTCTTGCCCACCTCAATGACCTAGGGTGCTCAGTAAATGTCTGTGGAGTGGGTGAATAAAGCCACACTCTACACATGATCTCCCTGTGGACCAAAATCTTTACTCTGTTTTGTAATCACAGGCCCTACAAGTTGACAAGATATGATAGGTCAAACAAAGGCATCCCCAGTGGCCTTGTTGGTTCGAGCACAGTTAATAGAGTGATATGTAATACAGTGCATATGACAATGCCAAGGCCTGATGTGTCCTGGCCAATGGAATGACTAGGGCACTATTACAAATGAGTTGGCTGAAGTTACCTACCTGTTAGAGGCAGAGCTGGGACTCAAACAAATCCAGGTCTTCAGGAGGCAATTCCTGAGGTTTTTGCACTTTCCCATGTTTGAGGCTGATTTTCTTTTTACCAGTTTAACTTTCAGGGTCCCACTTCTGGCATTTGGCTTTTTTTTTTTTTTTTTTTGAGCCTGCTTGTCTAGAGATGCTTTAGTCCAGAAAATGCATACTTCTTTGATTGTACAACCTATCAGTTAAGAATTTGAGGACTGTATTAATTATCTGTTGCTGCCAAACAATATTACTTCAAACTTAGCAGCTGTTTAAGGCACACATTTGTTGTCTCACAGTGTCTGTGGGTCAGGAATCTTGGCATATCTTAGCTTGGTTCTCTCCTTCAGATTCTCTCACAAGATGCACTCAGAGTTTTGGCCTAGGCTGGGTCTCATCTGAAAGCTGTCCTGGGGAAGGATCTTATTCTAAGCTCCCATGGTTGTTGGCAGAACTCACTTCCTTGTGGCCTGTTAGACTGAGGGCCTCCTTGTTGACCATCAGCTGCAGGCCGCGCGCAGTTCCTTGCCACACAGGCCTCTCCATATGATAACTGACTTCGTCAAAGCTGTAAATGGAGATAATCAACAGAGAGTTGTTAGGAGGAGTTACAGTCTTATGTAACATAATCATGGAAATGACATCTCTCACCTTCACTGTATTCTTTTGATTAGAGGCAAGTCATAAGTCT